GACAATCTTTTCCATGGTTGCATCAAGGCCGTCCTTGAGACGGAGAGCAGTTTTATGGAATAACACCCTATTTTTTTTTTTTTTTTAATAGGAACATATGTAGCAATATATAATAATAATACTAATACAAGTGAAAAAATGTGTGAAAATTATGACAATTTAACATGATTTTTCAGGTTAGCAGAACTTCTGCCAAAAAGCCCTTAATAGATAATTTGAGATAGAATATTCCAGAAATCAAGAAAAGTGCAAATGTCTGAGCTGGTTAGCCATACTCAAGAGCTTTCACATCAAAATGTTCATCAAGGCTAGATGTTTGATAAATCTGAATATAAATATCAAACATCTGGCCCTGATTACTTGAACTTTTCTTGATTTATTAAACACACACACAGAATTTATCTATTGAATATCTGTTTTTCTTTATAATTTTTCCTCAATTCCCTGGCACACTCTGCACTTATTTTGAGAAAAATTGCTACACTAGTTTTCTATTAAGCAATCAAGAAATGTTCAGAGCATTTTTAAAAGAAACCAAAAAGAGTTTCTAGAATTTTCCTTTCTACTAAACTATTCAGGCCTTTGATTCATATTTCAGTTTTTCCTTCATCATCAGATTCAGAACTTTCTTTTATATTTTGTAGTTGAAGAGAAATGTGCAAAAAGAGAAAAGGATTCTTGACACAAATCTCAAACTGACTCCCAAAATTTAGCCCTCAACTGCTGTTGTGGTAAACCCTCTTACAGCAGAATGAACTCTTCCTTCTCTCATAAATGCAAACTGCGAGAGTCGGACGGGAGCTCGCAGAGTGTGAAATGGAGTGGAGTGAAGTAGTAGACGCAGTGATAATCTACTTATTACTAACACTATTGTTTTGTATATATCTTCAATATACTTTTTCAACCTACCTTCGTCTTCCGTGTCTTTCATTCTGGGCCCTAAACAGGCCACAACAACTGCATACAGCAAATTGTTTGAATTTTGTTTTGTTTTTTTCCTCTCAGAAAATTTATATTTTTACTCTGCAAATTTAATATAAATTATCGAAAATGCGTTTCCAAAACAGATGACATTTGAATCAAAAAATCATCAAGGCTAGATATCTTACATTTGCATTGATTACATTAAAATATACATGACTAAGAGCCACCATGTCACACACATTATAGCAAACCACTCTTATTCCTTTTGTATCCCACTCAAGCAGCTTCTTCCCATGAATAGCTGCTTTGTGCAACCAACTCCCAAGAGGAAGCTTCCCTGACCACTACAATCATAACCTGTCCAAGTCTAGGGTTTACTGTTATCTTTCCCAAATCTCCCCATAATCTGTGCCTCTTAATCTTTAACCTTCTACCTTGAGTGGCTCTTGGGCCTTGTACAGGGTGAACATCATTGTTAAAGAAAAGAAAAAGATCATTACATACATTATAAATATTGTTGAAAAAAAAAAAAAAAAAAACACAACCTAAAAAAAGGGGATGGGTCAAGATTACTTTAATAGTTTTTTGTTTACTTTATTCATAGAAACTTTTCTCAAGAAAACAGTAAAAGCCTCATAAAATAAAAAGGCTTTATTTCTCAAGCCTTATTTTTAACAACTACAATAATTTTGATAAAATATATTTTGTTTTCAAAAGGGATTGATTAAAAAGATATAGAAGAATGATAGAGAAAAAGTTAAGACTGTCTTAGCAAATTGAATATTTGTTCTTGCAATTTTGAATGTTTTAGACAGGAAAATTGTTCAACTAAACCATTTTTAAATATTTCAGAGCTTGAATCTAAAAACTAAATGTAAAAATACTGAAATCAGTTTTCCAAATAAAACTATGAATGTAATTATTATCACACAGACACTATAGCTTTTAAGTGTTTCAAGTCAGTTCAATCATGGAAATCAAATTATAATAAAACAAGATTAGAAATGTATTTTATATCTGGGGTTTCAGTGTTTTTTGCAAGTATTTTTTTTTTCTTTAAATGATTCAAATAATTTTCCCCAATATGAATCTGGCTTTAAAGATCAATCATTATTTTTTCCTGAACACCCTTTTGAAATACTAAAATGAATACTTTTCCCTGTAATGAGCATGGTTGAAAGACGAAAGATTCCTCATTTTCTCAAACTCTAACATTGGGTGTTTTATTGTATGAATTTTCAGAGGGAGACAACCCACCTATGAAATTATATAGTTACTCTACCTGGCAGAGAATCCCATCATAAAAGCGCTTAACATTTTGATCCCAAAATGTGCTTCGTTATTATAAAGTACAAACAAAGCCAATGTATTAGTTCTCACAATGTGCCAGACAACTGTTTAACCAATCATGTTCTGAGTTTGCTTAAAATGCTAGAGAAATAGATTTTTGTTTTTAATGAACATTTTTAAAGTTCATGAAAAACAAAAGCCATTCGACCAGCATTGTGAAAAAAATTAATGAAAAAGAGGTTCTTCAGCATTAATGTGTATTCTCAGCTATTTGGAAAATATTTAGACCAATAGAGAAATATTAACACAGTGTTGGTTTGGTTTTTCTTTTAGATTTATTTACTGCTGTAAATTCTAACAGCATCTATCAATCATTAGACAAAAATTGTTTCCATAACAACCAGCAGAAAATTCTATAGAACAGCATCACCAGTGTTCAGTCTGAATTCCCCATTGTCATAATTTCAATTGGAGTCTTTGGAGTTCAAACCTTTCCTTTTTAGCAGCAACTGCTCATCTCTTGAAATAAGTTGTCATATTACACAGAATTTGAAATTCTCTTGGTCAATCAAACAGTTGATGGTTAAGAGTAAAACTGATAATAAGAAAAAAAAAAAATCTTAAACAAAATGTACCTAAATAATCAACTATCTCCAACTGCCATGACATTTTCAGTAATGTTTATTTTTCTAGTGAAATGTACCAGGTTTTATTAACATTAAAGTCTAAAATCCTGTAAAGGAAGATGGGTAGGTCAAACGATTATGGTGTAAAATCAATTCCCAGAATTGATTTCCTGCTCACAGTCAACCTATACCATAATGTAGCTGACCTGTGACTTTTCTATGAATATTTTCATGGTAATTGTTTTGTTGAACTTTCCTCTTTGGTACATTGACTTCACTAATTTAAGCGCAGTACTAGATTGGCAGCTAGGTCTCATCATTTCACTGTTGAAACTGCTAGTCATAACCCTAAGTTCGATGTTAATAGTTTCTGCACTTTTTACTTGTGGAACTATCTTCTGGGTTCCTGCTTTCCTATCAACTATGATTTTTATAAATTTTAAATGCAGTGTCAATTGTCATCTTTTGCCCCCATGAACCTTGTTCTTTTATAGTCCTTGCTGTTTCTTTCATTCTCAGTAACCCCTTAGTGGCTTTAATTGCTTTGTTTTGAGGGAAAAGAAAAAAATTATCAAATTGTCAAACTTATATATATATATATATATATATATATACGCACACACACACACACATACATACATACATACATACATACACCTGAAGTTTCCATAAATTCCAAGAAACATTTAGGAAGATAATTTTTATCTTTTTAACAAGATGTACAGGAGGAAATACTAGTGACTATTAATAATTGCAATCACAATTTTTTTTTTGATTGCTTCTAAAAGAAATTTCATGAGTAAAATTAAAATCATGGGAAAATAGACAAGCTGTAATGAATTTCAAAGATAATAGAAAACATGTTTGAAGTGTGTTATAGCTTCATCAGATGGAGCTAAAATAAATAGTAAAATCTATTAAATTCATAAAGATTTCCTCCATATTCCTTATCATTCTGCTTCCAAATTTCTGATGAGGCTAAATAAATAGCAAAACATGTCAAACTTATAAAGGCTTTCTTACTCGTTCCTTATTTAATCATTTTGTCAGACTTAATCCATATTTTCAATTAATGTCTTTGTATATGAAAATGTTAAATTTAGGTATTTGTAGCCAAATAGAAAACTTTAACAATTTCAGAAAACCTTTTCTAATTGAATATTTAATAAGTTTAATACTTTCCTATGTTATTTAAAATTTTCTCAATCAATTCTGAATCATTTTCAAAATAGAACAAAACAAATAATTAAAGCAATTATTTCAGAAGGTAAAAAAAGAAATAAATGTATATTTTATATTGATATATATATATATATATATATATATATATTTAAGCAGATACTTATCAAGCAAATTCATGAATGCATACACATAATTGCATCATTTTGTGAAGGATGAATTGAGTCACATTTCTCAGGTCACAGTTATTTTCATTTTTCAAATTACGGATTCTTCAGGCTCTTTTAAACAACGATGACAACAAAAGTTAACTTGAAACTTCCGTTCCAAAAAGATGTGCGGTTAAAATCCAAGTTCATGCAGCCAAGTTTTGTGCTGAAACATCCAAAGTGTTTGTTACAAGAGAAACTTTTTCATCATGATGGATTTTAAACACAAGACAAAGTAGTGATTTTTCTTTTAAAATATATGAACTGCTAATCTAAATGTGGCTGGGAATTTTAGTTGAGAGATCCATAAGAATTAGCAAAGTTCACGGACTATTCTTCTTCTGACATAGACAATTAGCAATAACCATATTGTTATAGCGTTAATAAGATGCAGTGCTATGATGCAAGGAATTGTGAATAATGATTTTATTCTATAATTATCATGCAGAAAAGAATTTTTAGATGATGAACACTTTTCTTTAGGGTGAAAAATCCGTAATCCAAAAGACAAAATAATTGTGGCTGATGATAGAGAGAAAAAAAAAATAACAATTGGAAAAGAAGGGGAAAAATACAGGAAATAAAAAAAAATTCTTAATAAAAAAACTTTTTAAAATTGATGATAATTTTTTTTTTTTTATCAAATTTTTCTTCAAATAAAAAAAAATTAAAGGAAAAAATTTGTTTTCATAAATTAAGGGTAGGGAAGGAAAAGGAAAAAAATAGGATAAAAGTGATGAATGCAGATGTCAGATATGTAATTTCTGCTTACATTGAAAAGATTTGATCTCCGTCGATTTTTCCTACTCTGTGTAGGCGTACTGCTTGGTGTGGGTAAATCTTTCCCATCGGGTTTGTCCTGGAAACGTAGTAGTACATGGTTTATATGTTAGTTCAGATAGCAGAGCAACAGAGCTGATCCTTATTACCTCAAATAAATTTTGGCACAATCTCTATCATGATCAAATCAGCTATATCATATATATATATATATATATATATATATATATATATATATATATGTATGTATGTGCACATATAAGTAGATTAGCAGAGGTTAGTAAGAGTTAATAGTAACATTGTCGTTGCCACTGGGATGGAACAACCATTAGCAGACATGCAGTCATGAACAAGATGCAAAGAAGAAGGAACATTGAAAGATAGATTAATTAACATCAATATAAACAATACATGTATCGACATAGAGACGGATCATAGAAACATGAAATAGCCATGCAACATTTTTAACAAAATACATGCTGTAATTGGAAAGCAAGACATTCCCACCAAACATGCAAGGCTATGTCGAGAGAGAAAGAGAGACACCAGCTGCCAGCAAGAAGAAGTTTAGTTCCATTGAATGAAGACAAAACAGTTGTTCAAAACACTGACATCTTTGGATTAATGACCTGAAAATTTAGGAATGGATTAAACCAAAAAAATAAATAAAAAAATAAATAAATAAAAATAAATAAATTTAAAAAATAGCACCAACAGCAGATGTTGTATCAAAACTTCCTCCATGATGATTTTGAAAAAAAAAAAAAAAAAATAATGCACTGTAATTTCAGTTGGACCAAAAAACAAAAAAAAATTGTTTTGCTATTTTATTTGTGAAATTATTGTTTCAATGATTTTTTTTAGATTTATCATATTTAGATTCTTGTTTAGAGAAAAATGAAAGTGAATTTTAAAAATATTACGGCTTTTTTTTTAAAATTCTGAATTGTGATTTGCCAATCCAGTAAAATTAAAAAAAAAACTTGTAGTATTAATGAGATTAACAAAGAAAAAAAAATGACAGCAAAAGTAATTTACAGAATCCTGTAAAACTTAATAAGTTGCTGTTTACTAAGCTTAGCTTATTTTGGCACAAGGCCAGAAGTATGGGGCACCCAGTGAGGACTGAACTTACTACACAATAGCAATGATCAACCAGACTAGTTATACCATGCTGAAGTACCAGATGACAGGTAAATGTTATTAAAAATTCAAGCTATGAGGGTGGTGCAGAAAGGTTCTCAACCTGACCAAAAAAAAAAAAGAAAAAAAGAAAAGAAAAAAGTCCTGTTTGGTCAGATTGTTAAAAGTGACTGTGAGTGATGTCTTTTCACCATCATTTCATACAAATATCAAGTATACTTGCTGAAGTCTGGATTGTGAAAAGTTATATATATATATATATATATATATATATATATATATATATAATTTTATATAAAGTTGTGAGATTCTAAAATATTATGTTTAATTGCATCTATTGTTCTACAAACTTTGAAAAAATCCTTTTGTAAACTTGAGAAGTAGAGAGAGGAGAAATAACTCGAGTCATTTTATGACTGATTGACTGCAAAGTCGGAAACAACTTTGAAGTTAGCACTTTTTTTTTTTTTTTTTTTTTAATCAGAAAAAGCCAAGATGGCAATGATTAGTTTGAATTCATTTTTACACACTTGATCAAGACAGCAAGAGTGTTTAATGTGTTTGCAGTAATAGAAAAAAGAAGAAAAAAAAAGACTGAAAACATTTTATAAGGATTTTAATGCAAACGTTTTTCTATTTATTAATAATTGGAGGGCAAAGAATTTTTTTTATTGACTTTTAGAAACCAATTGAAATTATTCAATTCTATTTCAAATGTATAGAAAGCAGAAATCAACAGCAAAGAGAAAATATCATGTTGTCTAAATTCTTTTTTCCACATGAACATCTGTTACTTAGCAAACATGCCAAGCTTATCCTTAAATTCAAATTAAACAAGTTTTTCTTGAAAATTTTGCAAATGAAGTAATAAACTGAGATTATATTCAAACTAGATAAAAAAGTGGAAAAGAAAAAAAGATTCATAACAATTGAAGTGAACAGTATAAAATATCTAAGTAGATTTGCTGAAAAAATCAAGTTTGTCACTAACTGTATCACTGGTGTGGTAACACATAGTTGAAATATATGGAGGCAGAAAGGAAGAAAAAAAGAAAACAAAATACAAAAAAAAAACAAAAAAAAAAACAACTAAATTCTTTTGTCTTGTACTGATTTGATTTTCCTGATGACATAGTCATGTCCACTTACAACAACATTCTACCAAGTCAATAAGTTGTTACTATTTTTTAGAGCATCTACCAATTATATAGAAGCACTTTTAATAATTCCTTGCAACCAGATGGAAAGGAAAAAAAACAAGCCAAACCTGGCTAAGGAAACAATATATTAAGGGAATCCAAGATTTTGTCATAAAACAGTCCAGTTATTTCAGTAAGTAAAATTCAAATGAATAAATACAATTCATATAAATTACTCTTTGTGAAAGAGAAAAAAAAAAAGAAAAGCTTTATTTAAAGTCGATTTTTAAAATCAGCTATTTTTTAAAAATTTATCCTGATAGTTAAGAATACTTGTGACAAAAGTAGGAATGTTTGAAATGTCAATATCAGTGGACAAGACTGTACAATGGTAAACAAATGTAATAGAAGCTCAAATTTGCACTTGATGAATATATCAGGAGAAAGGAGCTTCACAAGATTATAAGATGAAATAAATAATTCTTGTAAAAATAATTTTTTCAAGTTTCTAACACCAGTTAGATTCTTGACCAGAAACATTTCCCCCCAAATCATTATTTCAATGACCAAAGGTCAGAATACAGATTATGAGAAGTGGGTCAAGCCAAGAACTTAAGCACCGACATCCTCATACAATCAGGCACATCATATACAACAGGATTAATCATCAGAGATTAAAGGATTTGGCCAAAAAGCAAAGGATTATCTTCCTGATTTAACCCAGTTAAACTAGAAAGAAAAAAGAAGCTATATTTATTCTAGATTCTCTCTTAGATCACTGAAAGGACATTAAAATGCTTGGAAAGAAGAGAAAGATTAAATTTTAATTTCGTAAAATATTTTTTTCCTAATTAAAATGGAGGCAATATGAAAACTATTTCAATTCATACAGGACAATCAATAAGTAAAAAGCTAAAGAGAGTTTCAATACACTTATTCAGTTGGAAAGAAAGTCCTGTCGTATTTTTGATGTAATCACTTTGAGGATACTCTCCCAATACTTACAGCAAAATAAGTTTTCATTTTTACATTGTAATGTTTTTTTTTTCTTTCTGTCTTTCTTTACAAATTACTTAACTTCAAAATGCATAAATTTTGTAGTATTTTATTCTTTTAAAATGAGTTTAAATCAGAGACCCTATAAGACATGGCATGAATTCCAAAAAGACTTTTCAGTGGCAAAAAATATGTCTTGTGTCTATGGAAATGAAACTTTAAGTGTCTGGACAATACAAAAAAACAAGCTGCCCAGCTTCGATAGAGAATTGTTTTTCTCAAAGATTTCCCTCAATCTAGACAACCAGGTCCAGTCAATAATAAGTTTCTGCAAATTGTAATTGAGGAAAATCTAAGATTTAGCAAGAGAGTTCAATACAAGTGACACTTTGATAGCAAAACACTTTCATGAGTTTGGACAAGTGTTTAAATTTGGTCAGTGGGTCCCCTCATCATCTGACTGCCCTCTGCTCATTATTGATGAGTAGATTTGCTACCGAACATTTCTTAAGGTAGAATCCTGACCAGTGATGAAAACTGTATTCTCTAGAATCAGATCCAATGAAAAGGACAATAATTAGCAATGACTGAAAAAAGAGAATTAATCACCAAACCAGGACAAACCCCAATAAAAAAAGTTAATGCTCCATGTTTGGCAGGATATGAAAGATGTCTATTGTTAATTGTTAAACTAAAACAGTCTGGAGAAGTTTGATTTTAATTGAATTGTTTTCTACAGTTTATCAGCCTTTTGCAGGTTATATAAGACAGAAAATATTTTTAGATTGTAAAAATTTTTATTTGAGATAATAATGGTTTTGTGATATAAGTTTTACTAATTAATCCATAGCTGAGTGAGAAAAGGAGGATTCATACCTTTTCCCAAGAATCTTTGTATGTAAGTGAATATAATGAACCCAATGGGATTGGAAATTGGCTCTCTGATTAATAATTCTGAGCCATTATCCATTACACCACCTGCACATTCAAGCCTACAGCACCTGGTATTCCTAAGTGGTCACCCATCTACATACTGGCCAGGCTTGACATTGCTTAACTTTGGTGATTGTACAAAAACTGGTGTTTCAACATGATGTGGCTGTAAGCTGTGGAGAAGTCTTGTTAGTTGGAAACATTTCATAAATATTTAGAGTAAAAAGTAACCATTATTGGTTAATTTGAAAGGCATGTTGCTCTTGTATGATAATGCCAGACTAGATATTGCCTAGAGTAACTCAGAAAAAGATTAAGGCACTAATTACGGAAGTGCTTTGCTCTATCGGTCGTCTTTTCTGATCATTGCAACATTTTTTAGAGAGAAAAAAAAAAAAAAAAAGAGGTGACCTCTGTTTGCTACTGCTACTGAACTTTTCCTAGGTAGAATCATCAGCAGTGATGAAAAATGGGTTCTCTATAATGATATCCAGTCAAAATGACAATGATTAAGTACCTAGTGAAAAAGAATCCATCCCCAAATGACCACAGCTGGAAAAAAAGTCATGCTCTATGTTTGGTGAGATATGAAGGAGGGGGGGGCTGTTTTGTCTGTCATGAAGTGCTCAACCAAAATGAAACAGTTAATAGGAAGAACTATTGTTATCAAGTGGAAGCATTGCACAAAAACCTGTGTCATTGGTGTATTGCTCTTACATGATAATGTAAGAGCCCTATACGAACTGAATCACTCAGAAAAATGTTACATATGGAAGTTTTACCTCATCCTTCTTACTCTCCTGACTTGGCTCCATCTGATTATCATATTTTCAGATCATTATAACATTTTTAAAAGGAAAACAATTTATTGTGAAGAGGTTAAAATTGATATTAAGTCTTACTTTGCAGTGAAATCTGAAAATTTTTAAGCTTGATAGATCAACAATTTGTTAAATAGAGGGGATTATGTTATTGATGATGAAGGAGAAATATTACCTTGATTAAATACCTAATTTACAAGCAAAGAAGAATTTGTTACTTTCCCATCTTCAAATGCGACAAGACTTTCTTTGCAACATAATACATAAAATTTTCATTTAGCGTTTTGACAAATTCAGAATAATATGAAGAAAAATGTTATTTCAGTAACAAAATAGAATTCTTAAACTTATTTTTCAGAATGTGAGCAAAAGTAGAGAAGTAGAAATTTGGGACAAGTGTTTAGAGTGATTTTGCCTTTAGTTTTATTTTGATTAATATGAAAGTTTACTTTGTTCACCATAAAATTTCGAAAAATCACCTTTAGCTAAGTGAAATGAGTTTGAATGAAAAATGAGTTGATGAAAGGCAATTTGTGATGGCTTCAGAAATATTAAGACATCCTTTTCAATTCGATAGGATGAATGAGAATAGCTTAGAAAGAAAGTAATCTGTTTCTGGTTGAATGGTATTGCAAAGTTTTCAGTATACTCTTGTGATTAGCTTTTGCAACAGTATGTCAGATTTTATTAGGCAAATTAAGAAATTCTCATTAAAATTGGTATTAATCAAATGATGCCAGCAACATATGCAGGATAAACATATTTTTTTGCACAATCTATTCAGAACAACTTGTTTTTCAGATGGTAGGTTTTATTTTGCAATCAAATAAAAGCAGAATTAAATTTTTATTGATAAATAAAGCCAAAATATATAAATCATATCCCTGAAATATTTTATATATTAATATCCACTCTTTGTTTTTTATGAGTCTTTCATTCTGGCATTTTCTTAACTTTGGCTCAGTTTTTATTGTTTCCCAGAGACCTTTGTTTGAATACTGTTTTCCATTCTCTTAATGATGACTTGCGTGTTTTCTATTGAATTATATCTGGAAAAGCTGGGGAGGTGGAGTACTTCACTAGTCTGATGATTTTGAAACCTTTTTTTGGCAAGGTGGGCAATAGTCAACTTTGCAGATTGTGAAGGAGCATTGTCTTGCACTCAAGCTCTGTAGCTTAAAGCTTCTTGGTTGTGATGTGTATCATTCAAAAAACATGTCTTCCAAATTGCTATTTATCCTGAACTATCATTAATTTTAAAGGAACCTACAATTTTACTGCCTATGATACAAACCCCAAAATTTCCTCTCTGTTGTCTTCTAAGTTTGTTGACTATTTCTATAAAGAGTCTAGTAATCAGTTTCATCCAATGAAGCTTTACATTCATCACTAAAAATTACTGTTGAGATATCAGTTTTTATGTACTTTGCCTAATTAAATCATTTCCCTTTGTGACATTTACTTAAACATTGTAGTTTAATTGCTTTCAAGTATTTAATCAGTTTTTAATATTCTGTATCTTTGTTTATATTTGAAACACCAGGTTCTTCAAATAATTTCTTTTTTTCTGATATTCTTAAAGTTAATTTGTCTTCCTATCTTTTTTGTTCCTTTCAACGTTTTCAATTTCTTGGTCAGATTGTCCTAACTTCCAACATTATGTTCCCATCATTGAATAACTTGACAAGATCTTGTTTCTTTTGTGAAATTATATCTTTCTTATGACCCATGACAATCTCTATATATTTGACATTAAAAATATCAATAAGTATTCTTTGTTTTTTTTTTCCTTAGTTGCATAATCCATTCAATGGTCAATGCACAACTTCTCTTCCTGCCATCTTTCCATCAATGTCTATCTTTTGCAAATTATTCTGCTGTGAGCAAAGAGATTGGCATCCTTTGTAATTTGATCTTTCCAACACTTGGGAGGGGTCTGCCCCTTCTGTCTCGATGCAATAAAACATTTTTGAAATGCTTGAAGCACATAACTAGACTGGCTTCTTCATACTACAAGGCTGAATTAGCATAATTGTTTCTTCTCCACTTAGCGATTTTAATTGTTATACTTATTTCTTTTCTAGTATAGTCCATTTTATTTCGACAATCGTGTGTTACACCAACTGTATCTCTAAGGCAATCATTCTCAAAGACAAGATTCCTACAATATTCTTTTAGACAATATATTTCTCCAGCATCATTTCTTCATCGGAATAATTGATGCATAAAATAATCTTACTTAGATAATATTAAATATCTCTTTTCTTTTCCGTATCTTCTCTTTCAGTTTACCAAATGTTGATGAGGCTAAAGTTATTCGTCTCTTTAAATCTGCAGATGTTCCAAGGACTACTGATCCCAAGAATGTAAATGTGTTTATTTTTTCAATGAGATCTCCATCTATAATTATTTCATCTAAACTAGGGGAAATTACTTAGCATTTATTTTCATGTTCCATTTTTTTTGTAGGCTTTTTCTAGCTCTTTCTAGATATCAAGAGCTTCTCAAATACTGTGGATATTGAATATTGCTGACACATCTGGTCTGGTACTTCTATGTATTTAAAGATTATTGATAAAATCCAAAGAAAAAAATGCAATGTTATCAGTCCTGATCTGGCATGTTGACTTCAGTCTCTTTCTCATTGCCATAACATAGCTTCCCTGCAACTTTTCTAGAAATATTTTCATGAATAATTCTTCTGATGAGCTTTTCTCTTAGGTAACTAGACTTTATGAATTTAAGTGTAGTACTAGATTGGCAGCTAGGTCTCATCATTTTACAGTTTAAATTGCTAGATGTAACAGCAAGTTCTATGCTAAAAGTTTTTTTTTCTCTCACACTTCTTGCTTGTGGAACTCTCTTCCATCTTCTTGCTTTCCAGTCAACTTTGATTTTCAAAAATTTAAATGCAATATCAATCGTTAGAATCTATCTCCTTGAATTCTGTTCTTTTTATTGTCCTTTCTTCTCAATAGCATTTTCTCAGTAACTTCTTATGTCTTAGTGGCTTTATTGCTTTACTTGAGTGAAATGAATAAAAAAATATAGTATCATCAGCATTTCAAATATCTGTTGCTTAAAGCAAATATATATATAAATTTATATCATAATATACTTATTGAGTTGATATTAGAATAAACTTAGTTTCATTTGATTTATTCTTTGTCAACACAATAAGTATATTATGATATAAATTTATTTATAATGAAAACAGATATTATAAACTGAAATTAACATTTTATATCATAAAAATATATCCTGAAAATGTTACTAACACTGGCTGGTTACCACCAATTTTATTGTGAAAACATTGACTTATAGAATAAAATCTGAGAGAGTGTGCACTTTTCTAAAGTTGACCTTTGCTGCTAAAATGATTGTTGACTTATCCAAAGGTGGAATTCATATTAATGTTGTGACAAATAATTTCTTTTCTTTCTCCAGTTGATGTGCTAACTTTTTACAAACAACAATGGGAAAAATAAAAGGAAAAATAAAAACTTTTTGAGCTTCATTTTAAGATGAAGTGCAAGGCCTCCATAACTACTTTATGATATGCACACATTCATTTACACTAAGCACACACATATACATACACGCACACACTAATCAACCAAACCATCAGATGTCATTTATACACACATTCATTTACACACACACACAAATTCACTGAAACATCAGATGCCATTTATAATTATCCAATTTATAAATATTTCCTTAAAGTTTTAATAACTTTTTCAGATATTTTCTTTGCAAATCCTCATAAAGTTGTATTAATTGCAAATTGCCTGAACTGAAACAAAATAATTTTAGATAAATGAGTGCTTTAATAAGATTAAATTCTCTTTTATTGTCATTTTATTTCTGTATCCTTTTTGTCTGTTAGTAACACAGGCCACAAGAATGAATACCACTGCATTAATTTTAAAACATTTAAAAAAAAAAATAAATTAAAAAAAAAATTATATATAGTACAAATTCTCATGATCTAAATATTAAGTGTCAATTCTTTTTGCACTTCATAACTACATATAAATTTTAGTTGGAAATGAAAAGTCTTTATCATCTTGAAAGCATTTTGTTTAGCATGTGGGGAGGCTACCATTTCTGTAGGCAGAACAGTAAAAGAATTACAATTTTGAAGTTATTATCAATTTATTAAATGATTCTCCCAAGATGCAGAATTCTACTTTTAGCGTTTGGAAAAACTACAGTTTCTAGTCAAATTTATCAAAATGAAACCAGAAATCAAAATTTAAGATCATCTAAAAAATGGAAAATTCATTCTGAGAATGACATCAACTAACAAATATAATTTTAACTCTGGTTTCATTTAAGTTTGGGATG